AGTGTCGAACTAGCAAAGACCTCGGCACCACATAAGACCCAGTCGCCTCTTCGGCATGGGCAAAATCAAAGATCAAGGAGAGTGGACTACGAGTCGCTCCCAGAGCCTAAGGGCTAAAGTGCCGAATTGGCAAAGACCTCGGCACCACATAAGACCCAGTTGCCTCTTCAGCATGAGCAAAATCAAAGATCAATGAGAGTGGACTACGAGTCGCTCCCAGAGCTTAAGGGCTAAAGTGCCGAATTGGCAAAGACTTCGGCACCACATAAGACCCAGTCGCCTCTTCGGAATGGGGAAAATCAAGGAGAGTGGACTATGAGTCACTCCTAGAGCTTAAGGGCTAAAGTTCCGAACTGGCAAAGACTTCCTCACCACATAAGACCTAGTTGCCTCTTCGGCATGGGCAAAATCAAGGAGCGGACTGCGAGTCGCTCCCAGAGTCTAAGGATTTGAATTGACGCTTATGAGCTCATTAAATTATTCATTCCGGGCCAAAAGGAGAAATCTACTCCCTTCGCTGAGTTACTTTTAGCTCGGGAGTGGGGGGCAAATGATGAGGGCGGATTTGGCCCTCCAATGACATTGTGACACATGGCATCTCAAAACACTAGGTGACACCCGAAACCACTCAGGCAACAACTTGCCAAGTTGATGGTGTCCCGAACCGGTGACCTGGTACAGGCGCCGACCTGGTGACCTGGCGACCTGGCACTGACGCCGACTTGGCGACCAGCCTTTATGCTGAACTAGCGACTTGACTAGTAGGACAACAGCTCAGCTTAACACGCCAAGTCTACAATGGATCGAGCTCGGATAACCAGACCACCTCAGGACAAGTCTACTTCGGGACGAGTATACCTCGGCGCAAGGTCACATCAGGACCACCTCGGTCCCAAGGCACTTCGGCATTCATATCAGGTCGGATCTAAAGAGCACGAGCTCAGGCAATGTTGACCGACCACCGCATGGCAACCCCGAAGGTCTCGTCACCGTACTCCGCATCTTACAGGATTGTACCTTGTAACGACTAAATATCATCTCCCCACTCCCTGATTCAGGTGGAGATAGTCAGCCTTACCGGTTGGTAGCATTATCCTCAACTAACACGGAAACTGATCCTGTCGCAGCGAGAATTTCGGAACTACTCCACCGAACCTGCAAGGACTCTAGTATATAAAGGCTTCACCCCCCAGGGGTGAAAAAAGAGGCATAATCTTTGCTCTCTAGCTCTTTCACAATCTAATATCATTTTCAGCTTGCAACCAAGTGCTAACTTAAGCATCGGAGCGACCCCGCCGGGTAAACAACCCTGAGTTCTCTGGTTCCATCTCTTACAGGTTCATCGAGCCCGTCGTTGCTGGTAGCCAGAACATCTCTTGCGGGGAGCAGCCGGATTATGCCACATCAGAAGGCTACTACCTTTAAATAACCTTCTTGTTTCTCTCTCCCAAGACCTCCACATGACAACTATAACTGCCTTCCTATATAACCTTATTCCTCTAGCTCTCAATCCCACATCTCTCAATTGTTGAAGGAGGAAAATTCCAAGTACCACCCAAATCCACTCCAATTATGCCCAAAAAGAAATGCCACGATCTCCCTGGTAGTGAATGAGTAAATGTGAAGCTGATTCTACCTCTGTTAGACATAATACATGCTTAAACATAGAAGAGGGACATCCCACACTTTTACAAATGAGTAACTTCAAACATCCTTAAGACCGTTGAATAGAGCAACAACCTTTTCAATCTTGATAATCCTATAGGTGAATTTTAAATGTAAATTCCAGCCCCACCACATCCAAGATTTTATTTTCTGACCATTACCCACCCCAAGTCTGGTCGAACAAGGTCAAAGTTTCCACATGCATTCCTATTACAGGGGATTATAAATATTCACTAAAACAATACTATTCATCTTTTTAAGTAACTTGTATTCAATAAGATTTTTTTTTTTGGGAATGCCTAAGGTTCAGCAAGACTACGACCTTAGATATACTCATATAATGCATCCATACAATGAACATGGATAATGCCCCAAACAATAAAGAGTCAATTCTAGGCCTAATTTAAATAACTTCTAAATAAAGCAAATAAGCAGTGAAGAATCTAAGTTCCTGAGAAACTATACTCATAATATCTATTTTTTTTTTATCAATAACAGGTTTCATTGGGTCAAACCCAATCAGAGCAACAATCTGATTATGATCAATATCTGGTTCCTTAGGTTAATTGTATTCATTAGGCTCAGTTTGGAAGGAGTACAAATACAAATTACAGCTTATAATCAGGTTTCATTGGGTCAAACCCAATAGTCCCAATTAGTAACTGGGTTAGTTCTGGTTTGGTTTATGACTGCCTCAACATATTATTTATTGGTTCAAGACTTGGTCCCCCACACAATGGGGGAAAAGCAAATTAATGAACACAAACTCAAGATGGATAAAAACCCATCTCAATGTATCCCTCTTTCATTTCATAATGTTAATATTAATTGCATTCTCTTTCTTAATCCTTAGGATTCACTGAATTTTCAAAACCTCCTAGACACAGACAAGCATGTTCACCATAAAACATCCTTTGTTCAAGAGTAGACATCCTGTAGTCATAAAGAAATGAAAGTTATTTGTACTATTTTCAATGCCCAAGAGCACATCCTATTCAGTCTATTGTAAGCATACACAGAAAACAGAAATATTATATGGCCAAAAAGGCCCAAGTTAACAAGATTAAATAGACTGAAGAAAAGAATACCAACCACTAGGTGGCAATCAGTTTTGCATATGGCCAAAAGGGCCCACTTAAGTCTTATTGTATGCATCATTGTAGTGTTTTTTTCCTAGCAAATCTTTTTAGTTCATATTGGGATAACCAAAATCCATTGAACCAGAACTGAAGGACCTATACATATTTGATGGTCATTCAAATGTCATACCTTGCAAAAAGCATAGAGAATAATTCTATAACATGGAAATGAGCATGGAATTTTTCTGAACAGTAGTCTAATCTCAAATGCACTCTTGTTCATAAGAGGAAATCCAATCTAGCTAAGTTCATTATTCCATTAGAAATATGTTTTAGCTTCTAAGGATATGATCTTTTTCATGGGCTATAAATGTTCATAAAGGGTTGAAGATCGATATCAACATATCTTTTCAGGAGGTCCAAGTATACTTTCAGAGGTAAGGCTACGACAGGGCTGACTAGTAGAATCTTCTAATGCTAGCTTCACGGGCTTTAAGAAGTGAATTCTTGTATAGATTGAGGATGAATACAAAATGTGGTCAGAGCTTTTCATGATAAAGGGCCAGCTTACATCCGCTTGACTGTGCAAATCAGTAAATGGCAGTGGGGCTCCAACTGGGGTCCCATGGGTGATGTGCAAGCAAGATGATGTCCATTGCCAGATTTCCATGACATGATTCCAATTTTTTTGTAGTGAAAATACTTCATGGCAGATCAAAGATTAACATCATGGTTATTTTTTTCAATTTATCAAACTCATCTAATAAAAACTAAAACTCAAGCTGAAGATCACCAATCAATTTTACACATGAATCAACATTTGATAGGATACCAAAAGAAACACCTTAAGAAGAATAATTGGAAAAGGATACTAAGAAAAAAAACACAAATTATAATATATTGCTTACAACTTCATGACTTCTTTCTTTGAGAAGTCCACCACTCCATCTTCTTCCCTAACAATACATAAATAACAAAGAACTTATATGGAGTCCATGAATACAAATATAGAGAACAGTGCAAATAATAATTAGTTGTTGAAGACAGAGGACCTAACAAAGTAAAAGAAGCAAATGTTTCTTTGTAAAATACAAAAGCATTGTATTGTGTGTGTGTGTGAGAGAGAGAGAGTCTATTTTAACAGAAACTAGATTCTTAGACCCTAGATAGGTTATTGACCCAAAAGATGTTTTTCTCTAACCAAGGCCAATCCATTTGGGAAATAAATTAACAAAGTCAAGAATCAAGAGAAACTAAGAATGCTTATCTCTAAACATTTTAGTCTATTAATTAATACTCGGTCATGATTTAGAGACTGAGCCCAAATGTCTGGCACTAATGTCAATTAAAAGGTCTGAACACATATCTTCTCAATTCAACCCACTTACCTTCAAAACTTAAGCCCATTGAACATATCTGAAACCTAAGACTTCTCCATAATTGTCAAGGTGAAGCCTAGCTACTGCCTAGACAATAAGGTGTTTTTATTTGGATCACCTTCCTAGATATTCCCTATTGTTAATCCTTATTCCCATGACCTCTTACCATTGGCCAAACTTCATAATCCAATGTCAAACAATTTAAAAAAAATGAATTTGTGTGAAAATTTATCATTTTGCAGCTTCCAAAAGTTCATCTTAGCCTTACACTGTTATGTTTTTATTCATACTCTTTAATACTTGATAGTTGATACCAAAAGCCAAATATCAATGATATGGTCCATACTTGAAAGCTCCCAAAAGCGAAACATGCTATAACGATATAAGACTTAACATGAAGCTTCTTTCCATCATAGTTTCAGGAGTCAAACCCTCCCAACTAGAGAAAAATAAATCTACAAAAATCATAACACAATTTTTTCATACTCCAAAGCTTAACTGTTAAAAAATTTTAGTCCTGCCCCAAAAAAAAAAACTGGAATAGCTCAGTTGGTTAGAGCGTGTGGCTATTTAACCATAAGGTCGGAGTTCAGGTCCTCTCTACGATGTTTACATTTATTTGCGAATAAAAAAATAAATAAATAAAACGGAAAAGAGAAAATACATCTTATTTTTTCTCAGTTATATCGGTGAACCATCTAATAATATTCAATAAGAACCCAACCACTTAACAAAAGTTTGATTGCTTACGGTACAATGAAGATCTCACTCATCAAATGCCGCAATCATTTTTGCAGCTTTGCAGTAGAGATCATGAGGTTTTTCAACAGGTCCTGAGATGAGGAAAGGAATTCTTGCTTCATCAGTAAGAATGGAATAAACCTCATCAATTGCACAATAATCGAAACCCCCGAAAACAAATTCATCAGCACTTGTAAATGGAAGATTGAGAAATAAGCACACGGTGAGGACCTTTGGCCTATCCTACACCATTAGCTCCAAGCTCGTTGCTTCCTCCTTTGAAGGAGGATCTTTGGCCTGTCCATTACTGCTAGATTGATCTCCTGTTAGGGTTTCAATCATATAGGTACTGACATTATAGATTCTGTAACCGTAAATGGATAAACATACTAAGCAGATTCATCCGCATCCCCAAAATAGGTTTGGTGATAGAAACAGAGAGTGGTAGATGTTGTGAAGAGAGATTATGAGAGAGAGTGAGGAGAGGAAAGAATAAGTATTTTTGATGCTCATAATGGGCTCAGGACAACACAGTAAACTTGCTTCCCGGACGAGCTGGCGGGTGGAAGGATCCGAGGTGTGCTGTGGCCGAAGGCTAGGGGAGACCGAGGTGTGCTGTGGCTGAGGGCTGGTGAAGTCTGCCCTGACCGAGGTTGGCTGAGGTTGAGTACATGCGAGGAAGGGAACGCCAAAGGTCCCAGGTGTTAATCCGAGGTGGGGACTCCGACGGTCAAGTTAACGAGTGCGTAGCTAGAAAGGCGGACGAGATCCGAGGAGCTCTGACGAGGTCGCCGATAAGCCAGAGAGTTGGAGAGCTTGGAGAGGAGAGTCTAGACCAAGTTTTTTTTTATCCCTTACCTTGGGGGAGTCATGCCCTATTTATACTTAAGATCGCTTGGTGGCATACGGATGCAGACCGTTAGAATACGATCCGGCCCTGGGTGGGCAGTCATCCGAGCTCGCCGACCTCCGCCCTGCCAGATGTGCTGATTGGCTCCGCCTTCGACCACATGTTGGCGTGCCAGCATGCCAAGGGTATGCCTATTTGTACTTTATATTTGGACACACAAGGTGTAGTAGGAATAGGAAAAGTTCACATGCCTATATGGGGCATTTTTTGTGGTCAACGCAATTTTTTTTCTGTTTTCTTGAAAACCAATAAAAGTTATAGATCATAAAGTAATGGGAATGGAGGTCTTGGAAGGAAGTTGGAAACATCTTGTGGTTAATAAGAGAGCAATTAGGATTCATGTAATTTGAGGTGGAAGGTGATCCTAAGCTGGGCCTTGTCTCCTGATCTATGGGAATAACAAAATAACATTCATTTCCATAGAAAACAATGTGCTTTGCAAGATAGTTTCCTTGAGCAAGAGTGTATAGAGTTTGCGGGATTGAAACAATACGTGGGTACAAGCAGGTTTCCATATGGAGAAAACCTTTGAAGATTAGGGAAAAATAATTTCTTTAGGAAAGATTTAGGGTCAAAGGAAAGACGGTCTTGAACATTGGAGGGATGAAAATGGCCAAGGTATTCCTGGAAGGGATATATGTGATAGCCTGGTTTAATGATTTTGTTGAGGAAGCAATCCTATCAAGTTAGAGAATGGAGTGTAAGGGATAAATAGGGGAAGATGGTGGGAGCTATGTGTTAGGCAGTGGGGTAAATCCTAAGATATAGGGGCCAAGTGAGAGTTTCTTTGTGTGTGCTTTGATTACTAATCCAGGTCAATTAAACTTCAACACCGGTGGCCAGATTGATGAAAAATTAGTCTAACTTGGCCTCATATGGGTTTAGTAAATTTTCTTGGTTTTCAAAACCAAGAAAAATTCTCACCCCTAAACCAAAGATCTAGAGGACAAGTGACAATTGCTCTCTACTCATTTGGGTTACTAATCCATATAATGCATACCTTGACACTAATGGCCAAGGTGATAATTATTTTTTCTGGTGTATTCACATTTGGGTTCAGTAACTTTTCATGGTTTTCAAAAACTAAGAAAAGTTTTGAGCCTTCAATCCTAAGATGTAGGGGCCAAGTGAGAGTTTCTTTGTTTGTGCTTTGGTTACTAATCTGGGTCATTTAAACTTTGACATCGATGGCCAGATTGGTGAAAAATTAGGCTAACTTGGCCTGAGATGGGTTCCATAAATTTTCTTGGTTTTTAGAAACCGTGAAAAGTTCTCAGCCCTAAACCAAAGATCTAAGGGACAAGTGACACTTACTCTCTACTCATTCGAGTTAATAATACATATAATGCATACCTTGAGACTAATGGCCAAGGAGACAATTTTTTTTTTCTAATATGGCCACTTTGGGATTCAGTAACTTTTCTTGGTTTTCAAAACCAAGAAAGATTTTGAACCCTAAATACAAGGATGTAGGGGCCAAGATAGAGTGTCTTTCTTAGTGCTTTGGTTACCATTCCGAGTCATGTAAACTTCGACACCGGTTTCCAGATTGATGAAAAGTTGGTTTAACTTGGCCTCATATGGGTTCGGTAAATTTTCTTGGTTTTTAGAAACTAAGAAAAGTTCTCAACCCTAAACCGAAGATCTAGATGACAGGTAACAATTTTTCTCTACTCATTTGAGTTACTAATCCGTACAATGCATACTTTGACACTAATGGACAAGGTGATTATTCTTTTACCTGATGTAGTCACATTTGGGTTTAGTAACCTTTCTTTGTTTTCAAAAGCCAAGAAAGGTTCTGAACCCTAAATCCAAAGATGTAGAGGCCAAGTGAGAGTTTCTTTCTTTGTGCTTCGGTTACCATTCCAAGTCATGTAAACTTTGACACCGGTTGCCAGATTAATGAAAAGTTGGTCTAACTTGGCCTCATATGGGTTTGGTAAATTTTTTTGGTTTTCAAAAATCAAGAAAAGTTCTTAACCTTGAACCATAGATCTAGACGACAGGTGACAATTTTTCTTTACTCATTTGGGTTAATAATCCGTATAATGCATACCTTGACACTAATGACCAAGGTGATATTTTTTTTTTCTGATTTAGTCACATTTGGGTTCAGTAACGTTTCTTGGTTTTCAAAAACCAAGAAAGGTTTTGAGCCCTAAATCCTAAGATATAGGGGCCAAGTGAGAGTTTCTTTGTTTGTGCTTTGGTTACTAATCTAGGTCATTTAAGCTTCGACACCGGTGGCCAGATTGATGAAAAATTAGTCTAACTTGGTCTCATATGGGTTTTGTAAATTTCTTGGTTTTCAAAAAGCAAGAAAAGTTCTCAGCCATAAACCAAAGATCTAGAGGACAAGTGACAATTACTCTCTACTCATTTGGGTTACTAATCGTTATAATGCATACCTTGAAACAAATGGCCAAGGTGATAATTCTTTTTCCTGATGTAGTCACATCTGAGTTCAATAACTTTTCTTGGTTTTCAAAAATCAAGAAAGGTTCTGGGTCCTCAATCCTAAGATGTAGGGGCCAAGTGAGAGTTTCTTTGTTTGTGCTTTGGTTACTAATCCGAGTCATTTAAACTTCAACACCGGTGGCTAGATTGAAGAAAAATTAGTCTAACTTGGCCTCATATGGGTTCAGTAAATTTTCTTGGTTTTCAAAAACCAAGTAACATTCTCAGCCCTAAACCAAAGATCTAGAGGACAAGTGGCAATTACTCTCTACTCATTTTGGTTAATAATCCATATAATGCATACCTTGACGCTAATGGCCAAGGTGATAAATTCTTTTTTCTTATGTAGTCACATTTGGGTTCAGTAACGTTTCTTAGTTTTCCAAAACCAAGAAAGGTTTTGAGCCTTTAATCCAAAGATATAGGGGCCAAGTGAGAGTATCTTTGTTTGTGCTTTGGTTACTAATCCGAGTCATTTAAACTTCGACACCGATTGCCAGATTGGTGAAAAATTTGTCTAACTTGGCCTCAGATGGGTTCTGTACATTTTCTTAATTTTTAGAAACCAAGAAAAGTTTTCAGCCCTAAACCAAAGATCTAGGGGACAAGTGACACTTACTCTCTACTCATTTGGGTTAATAATACATATAATACATACCTTGTGACTAATGGCCAAGGAGACAATTTTTTTTTTCTAATATGGCCACTTTGGTTTTCAAAAACAAGAAAGGTTCTGAACCCTAAATACAATGGTGTAGGGGCCAAGTGAGAGTGTCTTTCTTTGTGCTTTGGTTACCATTGTGAGTCATATAAACTTCGACACCGGTTGCCAGATTGATGAAATGTTGGTTTAACTTGGCCTCATATGGGTTCGGTAAATTTTCTTGGTTTTCAAAAACTAAGAAAAATTCTCACCCCTAAACCAAAGATCTAGACAAGTGACAATTTCTCTCTACTCATTTGGGTTAGTAATCCATATAATAAATACCTTGACACTAATGGCCAAGGTGGTAATTCTTTTTTCTGGTTTAGTCACATTTGGGTTCAGTAACTTTTCTTGGTTTTCAAAAACCAAGAAAGATTCTAAGCCCTCAATCCTAAGATGTAGGGGCCAAATGAGAGTTTCTTTATTTCTGCTTTGGTTACTAATTCGGGTCATTTAAACTTTAACACCGGTGGCCAGATTGATGAAAAATTAGTCTAACTTGGCCTCAGATGGGTTTCGTAAATTTTTTTCATGTTTAGAAACCAAGAAAAGTTCTCAGCCATAAACCCAAGTTCTAGGGGACAAGTGACACTCTCTACTCATTTGGGTTAATAATCCATACAACGCATACCTTGACACTAACGACCAAGGTGATAATTCTTTTTTATGATGTAGTCACATTTGGGTTCTGATGCGATGCAATCCGGCTGCTCCTAGCTGGAGATGATTTGGCTTCCAGTAGACGATAGACCTGACTGATCTCCACAAAGAGAATCAGAGAACCCGGGGGTGCTTACCTGGCGAGGTCGCTCCGATGCTTAAGTCAATACTCTCATAGTAAACTGTGAGCTAAAATCCCACAATATGAGAGCTAGAATTTGCTTACTTGCTTGCCCCCTTTGTCATTGGGGTTGGTGCCTTTATATAGGCATTGTTTGGCGTGGGCTTCACACACCATATCCGAGATTTCTGCGAGGACGTCTAAGTGGTTCGAGATTCCTGGGCCAACTTCCATGGATCGTGGGAGTGTTTGGATATGCATGCCGAATTTGTCACCGAGAACGTCTCGCAAGTCGCCAGGTCGGTGTCTATGCCAGGCCGCCAGGTTGTGCCAGGGCCAGGTCTGGCTAGCTGCCCGGACCTCAGACCAAATCCACTTGGCTTGTCATGAACTCCCCGCACCAGGTCAGGACCCCTGGCTCGGGGAGTGGGGGGAAATTGATGCAGGGTGATTTGGCCCAACCTAGTAATAGGGGACACGTGGACATGACCTAACTGATAGGATGACAACTCACTCTGACGCATCAAGTCTGCAATGGACCGAGCTCGAATAACCGAACCACCTCGGGACAAGTTCACCTCGGAACACGATCACATCAGGACCACCTCCGTTCCAAGGCACTTCGGCATTTGTACCAGGTCGGATCCAAAGGGCACTAGCTCGAGTAATATTGACTGACCTCTGCGTGACAACCCCAAAGATCTCGCCACCAGATTCCACGCTTTACGGGATTACACCTCGTAACCGCTAGCACTATCTCCCCGTCCTATTCGGGCGGCAGTGATAAGCCTTATCGGCTAGCAGCATTATCTCCTGTTAATACGGAAACGGGCATCATCATAGCAAGAATCCCAGAACCACTCCGAAAAACCCGCGAGGACTCCAATATATAAAGACCGCAACCCTCCAAGGGCAAAGGTATGCGTAATCTCTACTCACTAGCTCCCTTACTTTCTAAGCTACCATCAGCTCGCATGTTTCTGACTTAAGCATTAGAGCGACCTCACCGGGTAAGCATCCCTGGGTTCTTTGATTCTCTTTGTGCAGATCAGTCAAGTCTGCTATCTACTGGAAGCCAAGTCATCTCCAGCTAGGAGCAGCTGAATTGCGTTGCATCAG